ACAATGAACAGAGTAATTAAGTTTTTTTAAAGACTAAATTTGCACACTTGACATTAAAAATGACAAGTTCAGTAACATCGCAATGGCCACCAGCTGCCCAAAGACAGAAATACTTACAAACGAAATATCTCCAAAGGTCAGAGAGCATGGCATTCGCAAAATTTGCAAAATTACATCACATGTAACTTCATACATTATCGAGTTTACTTTAGGACTTGTGATCTAAATACCAAAGTGCGTTAAAGGAATTGTCTTTTATCAGTTCATACCTTCCATCAAACTCGTAATCTGGCAAATCGGTGAAGTAGTGATCGACGCTGAGGATCTGTGATGGGGCAATTCCTGTTAGCTGGTTACCCATCTAGGCAATTGTCCCTGAATCCTGCGATCCAGCCTTGCTATCGCCTTGAAACTTCCCTGGCTGATAACATACTATATAAACTACATTTCAGTCAGCTTTTGTAAATAATCTGTAGGTATTATGGTATCTGAAATAGCATTTTTTCTACACTATTTTTGTAGTTGGCTCGTCGAAACTGGAGATATGCCGTGTAACCTGGCCTTCATGCTTAGTGACCTGGCTATATTTATTCATTCATTCATCACTTCAATTTGCATATCCTTAATTCAATCATCTTTATCGAAAAATCATCTAGATTTGAAAAATGCTAAAATGAAATTCGAACCCTTGAAATTTTGTAGTGTGAGGAGACGTGACTTTTTTTTCGATTTTTCCCTTTCTCTTCTATGTCTCTATTATTTCTTTTCGCCTTTTCTCATCCTTTTCCTCTTTCTTTTTCTTTGTTTTTATCTTCCTTTCTTTCTTCAAATGARTCATTGTACGTTTAGCATGTTTAGAGGCATGACATTTTCCCCTTCTATTTTGCTTAGTCATTATGAATACGCGCCAGCTCAAGTTTATGTATAATGTAGCACCCAAGTCCTCTTACGAGCAACAATGGCGGAGTGATTAACTCTAGTTAAAGGCATTTTAACGTAAGGTGATGCTCGTTTATAAAGGATATGACATAGATTTAGCTTGTATCACTCCCTTCCTGTCCCATATAGAGATGGACCGGGCAAAACAGGACGAGAGTTTTTAACCCACGCGTTTTGCCAATGCCAAACAAATGCTTAGTGTCCCCTCCCCTGTGTGATAATATTTTGGAGGGTCATGTGCTAAGCATTTTACGCTTAACCTATGATCTACCTTCAGACTTTCCCTTTGTTTTCTTTCAATGTCATGTGCACGTATTATTGTAGAATGTTTTTTCCTTCTCATCCAGTTTTTCGTCAATGATTGCGCACTTTCTCTGCCGCATTTTGCCGCATTTTATCATCACTGTCTTATGTCTATGATCCTCCATTGTGCTGCCACCAGTTCCGTGTATTTGGTCCCAATGACAGCGTATCTTTTTTGATGCGTCCCCTTACATTGTTTCTAAGATGTGCGCTGCCTTGTCTCCTGCGTTCTCTTTTAGCTTCATGTCATATCTGTTATTTTTTACTCCCTGACAAGAACTCGTGTTTAAGTTGGCCGCTCGTTCTTTGTAATATGCGTTACCTCCTTGGGGATCCTCTTCGTCCTTGTGTACTTTCCTCGTCGCGGGTGCGAGCCTTTATCCCCCCCCCCCCTATCCCCCCCTCTATCCCCCCCTTTTTACGTCCTGTTCGAGAGCGCTCCCACCATTCAACCGTACAGTACGTCAACATAATCAAACAGCGAAGCACGTAATAGCAGATAATCTTACAACTTCGACCGATAGAACTTGACCTCTAAAAAACCCACAAAAATAATGACGAGTTTGAAGGTCTACAAGCCTTTCCTGACAAACAAAAACACTTCATTCTGGCTGGTAAACACCGAGTTGAAGTAATCAACGTCTTCTGGTTTGTTCTATTCGTCTGTCTCGTCGTTGACGCCAGTCGCTCTCCTGTTTGAGTATGGTTACATTTGGTAGCACTCAAAACAACGAAGAGTTCACAGAAATTATCATAAGCATTGATAAACTGGAAGTTGGGGACACGACAAATTCAGGTAAATTGCTTTAGCAATAGCTTTCAAAGCCATTGACTAACTTTTCATGATCTGTCAACGCAAACTTGAAACTTGACGAAAATAGAAAAGGGGCAATGAATCTCTAAACTTATATTTGAATAAAATGATTAGTTTTTATTCCACTTACTTAGATCATAGAGTACACCTTTCATATATTAGCATTCTACCGAGGTAATTTTGAATAGTTTTTCGCAATTGTTTTGTAAATTAACACAAAAAAGAGTGCATCGACATGAAGGAAAAGTATTTCCGGCACCTCGATCCAAAAATTTTCGCAGTTCCGAACGAACATTTTTTAGTGATTTCAAAACATTAAAAGATTAGAAAATTAATTGATGATGGTGTATGATCAATGTTATGAATTCCTTGCGTGTTCTAAGAATTTACGAATCACTAACTAAGCGTAACTTATATGKCTTTATTTCGCTTTCAACAAATTTGAATACAAAGGTTTTTCCAATGATAATTTAAATCAAATTGTTTTTATATAAAAAGGATGTAATTTGCGCTTCGTTTTTGTACWTTTTTGTACATTGTGTGAATCCCTATTGTTTTGACATTACTTATATCAATAGTTGTAAATTCTTTCAACTGCATGATTGCCATATTAAGATTTATCACAGCAGATCAGAGAACGAGCCACAAACAACGCAACTTGAAATCACCATGCTGTCGTAAAACCGGAATGCAAGGAACTTTGTTTACGTTTTTTGCCGATTTTTTAACAAAAAAAACCTCCAACAAATATAATATTATAATATTTTGAAATTAGTCATGCATGCTAATAACATTTTTGGCTTTTCCGGCTTTTAAGTTTTGTAACCTCCAAAAAAATTATTTCTAGAAGACTTGATTTTCCCTTGAAGTAAAGTATAAGTAGTTTTACTAGAAAAATCTATCTACAAAGCTATAAATAGATGTGTGACGACCTTTCTATAGTAGTTCCATATCGGTAGAAATAACTATACACCTACGCGATTTGCTAGAATAAAGAAACACTAAAAACCCGTGAATCAGCACTCTACAGTGGATTTTAAAAACCCCGTGAAATACATGCCTTAGCATGGCCTTATAAAGACGTGAAACAGACATGCAGAAATGGATCAAGGAAACAAATGTGTTTGTAAGGCGGAGAAAAAACGGTTCTGTGTTTTCCTACCAAAAAAGGATATAAATACGTGTACTGTACTTTTTTTATTACTTGGCGTGACAGTGGCTGTGCTTAAACATCTTTCATCGAGGACAAAGATCATTTGAACAAATCACGTTTTTTGAGATAAAATCAATTGATTTGTTATGATCGTGTGATTTCAATTGTTGCCATTGTTATTACCGTTTGATAGTTTCAATATACCAAGATCATTGTTCATACTTTTCTTGATATATTCAAAACATGTAAGTTCGTTGTAGCGACTCTCTTGGGATCCCTGTGTCTAAGAGGGACGGGCTTTGAATCGTGGCATTGGTTATCGATGATTTTGTTCTGATCTTGTTTTTATTATCATTATCATAATATTGCAACATTAGCTATAGATGAACCAGTTACTTTTCCTGTCTAATCAGAGAAAAATCACTGAAGGTCTCCAGGTTTTTTTGATACATCACAAATCATGCGAAGTCCGGCTAAAATTGAATGCATGACTGGTATAAGAACAAGGTCAGAATTTCATATTGAAAAATCTACAAACTCCTTTTTATCGACCTTACATCGACCAGTGAAAAGAATTTGGAATGACAAGGTCAGCATTTCAATAAATGCCTTCATTTGCCAAAGCTACAAACCCCTCTTTATCGACCACAAATCGAAGGATTCAGACTAAACCGAGGTCTGTGTTTTATGTCGGAAGAGACTACTAATATAAGGTTTGCGTGTTTCATTTTCTGTAGAAAGGAAGTAATTAAACCAWCGCAACATGACATTTTATCGCATCTATTATCACAGTATGGGCTCCAAACGAATTCATCGGCATATGCCTAHAAACCCCACATAAATATTTCATTGCAAAAATGTTGAATTTTACCCTGAGCAAGCAGCAACATGGTGTTGAAAAGAATGTTAATATGAGACCGTTTCCAGCGTTGACGGTCATAAATTTTGATCGCATGAGAGAGACGGTTCGTGATTGTATAAAACGATCACTACAGAGGACTTCTCTTCGAAGGGCCCCGGCTGCATTGCGCGAGAGTAAGTTTTTATTGATATACCTTGATAATATCTGTTGGAATATTGCTGAGTTATAACACACTATTCGTTATGCTGTACATCTACTTGTCATCACTCTTGCTGTAGTGTCGTTTTGGGAATCGTTCTAATAATATGCGCACGATTCAAAAATTATCTCAGGTGCTGTCTCTACCATTATTATKAGCTTATTATCATTGAAAAAAATCTATACAACACAGACAAATGCAGCAAGCTGACTGTTAGCTAGTTAGTTTGTTAGTTAGTTTTATTTTTGTTATTATTTTCGTGACATTGTCACTTGTTTTTTTTTTAGTCTTTTTCATAAATTATGATTGCAGTTGTAATCCAGTAAATCGCGTATTGAAGCATGTTGTTTCGCAATACATGTATTGTATTTCGTAGTGTTTGTCCTTATACTTGCAAACTGATTATTGAATGACAATTCATTTTTATCCAGATTTCAATAGCTTCACGCATCCTTTTCATTCATCCACTTTGTCAGTCCTATCCATCCCTCTAATCCTACAAGGTTTTTCATCCATCAATCCATCCATTTTTTTCGGCATGCTTTTATTTACTGGACCAAGAGCTGTGTGTTTTTTACGATTCTGTCTGAAGGCCCCAAGGCACTTATCATATGCTAAACGGTTCTCTGATTTGAAGGCTCCATTTACGCAATAAAGGAAGCTATAGGTCTGATATGCTGTGCGATAGTTCCTGTTAATCTACCTCTGGTTTTCGTCTGGGAGATAACTTGCTATTGCCGTTAGCTCGTAGTTATCTCCCTTTTCAGACAGCTTTTGAGCTACTGCTTCTATAGAGGTGGGGTCACGTGATATGCAAGTGCAAATAGCCCTTAGCCGTTTAGGTTGGATTATTTTAATTCCGGAAGTATTATAGGTTGATAATTACATTAACCCATTGTAGCGACTTCAGTCGTCTGTGATCATTCCAACCAGTCATGCGTAGATGATTCACCACACAGGAAATCCGTCACGAAAGACATTWGGATTTTATCCCACACAGTATCTGCAGGTTTACTTTACATTTATTTCTAAACGCACGTGCTGCGATCTCGGAAGTAGACTGGACCAAGTGTCATYCGCTGTCCGTTGTGATTTATTACTTTCCGTGGTCATTTGCTGATAAAAGGTTATTAGGTTTAGTTTCAGACAACGACAGACGATGTACTGATGTCGGGCTTTCAATGTCAAAATCAACAGACAACTCCAGCAACTCGTAAACCACTTGTTATATCAGGGCATCAATATATAATTTATTACAAAAAACTCCGAAGTGTCAAGTTTTAAAGATATTAAAGTCGAAAGGTGTATTAGAAGACAAATCCAAGAGTCTGAATTACTCGGCCTGGATTACGTTGTTTTGCTATCTGGCTGTGAGCTTCTTGTCGTCGTTGACAGTTATGCTGAATCCATAGGGGAATTGTTCCCAGACCTCACGCCAAAATATTTCTTTTCAAGGCTTWATAGGAAATGTGAAGAGACGCCATTTTGTGCAGCAAAGCATGATGGTAGTTGTAATCCTCACACTTATTACTAGTTATTATTTTTTACGCTCTCTTTTTATAAAGTCAAAATGATCTCTATAGTAACACAGAAAAAGCAAAAATATTTAAGAAGTAACGTTTTTAGAGTACATGGAAAGGTACGAGGACTACAACTACCATCATGCCTTGCGGTACAAAATGGCAAAATGGCGTATCTGTGGCATGCTGTGGCATTTACCTAAAAAAACATCATTGTACAACTAATGCGATTTTTATACACAAAGAACATTTCCTTGATGGCACTTAACGAAATAATTGAAACAGTATTGCCTTAATCTTTAGTACGTCAATCGTCCAATAATAAATCCCAGTTTTGTCGAGATTACGTCATAGACAATTCCCCATTGTGAATGGAGTGTTTGGAAAGTGTTTTTGACGTCACGRAAATAATAAATTGGGTTCGTTCGTTTACGTCACACTGTTATACGGAAATCTGTCCCACCGCAAAACTAGGGAACGGTTCCGCGATGAATTGCGCAAGTAGTAACGTAAATTTCCGGTAGGAAATTGAAAATGGAAACATTTTGTGATAAATTTTTGACAATCTAAAAGGGCACTCCAAATTGTGAAATATAGGACAATTAGAGAAGTATTTGATGGACGTTGATGAGGTTTTGGAAATGAAAAGCAAAGTGTCTTATCATATGTCTTTGAACAATAGTTTTCACCTGAACAGCACGGAGAGTCATTCTGACACTTTTTACCTAATAAATACACGATGCTGATTGGCTACCTCTTCTGAATAATTTGTTTGACAGAGCGTGACGTCACGGGGCCCGGGTTCTATCGCACTTCGAGTGTTCTTGTATTATTCGGTTTTGAAATCTTAGAAGAAATTAGTCCAATTTGACCTTATCTGAATGGTCACAAAATAGCTTGAACTTTGAAGGCTTTTTCCAGGAATAGCCCTACCTGGTTTACTTATCAAATGGCTATGTAGATATTAGAAAAATGGCTTCCATTCCCTCCGGATCAACAACGGTTTGAACTATACTCTTGTGMTGAAGTGCTGACCAAATTGTTCTTCTGTTCTTCTTCTATAAGCCGTTTATTCTTCGTCTAAACGGAATGAAAGCGATTTGGAAAGTTCCAGGTCACTTTTAACATTAAAAATGCCTGAGTTAGGTAAGTATTTAGTCAGTAATCGGCCGAAAATCATGCCTCGCATCATCTACTCAGTTCACAAACTCTGCAAAACTTCWGCCCAACTCGTCCGGTGTATTTTTGCCCTACTTCTCATATATAATGCGAGGGATTGTTTTGAATTCTTGTATTTTATTTATATTTTATATTCCTTGTATCAGGTGATGTGTTTTATAAAGTAATGTCATTGTTATTTGTGAGATCAGACCGTCAATTTTGGGTTTCTTGTTGGCCGGTAATGACTACAAATTCGCTCAATAAAGCTTCATGTTTCGCTATATATATTAATTTTGTAATGCTCCAGTTGCTAACAAAACGCTTTCTTTAATTTTAAGGTGGAAACGATGTGGACAACGAGAAGACAGGTAAATATAAGACTATTATTTCTAACTTAAAGTATTGTGTATTTACTTTGCCCTTAAAGACGAAAGTCCTTCAGGGACTTCTTTCAATTTAGCCAACAAAAAAGAAACATAAATTAACCAAACTTATAGATATATCTTAATATTATTTGTCATTATTCATTCCAAATTGTTTGTTGTGAGTTCCTAATTGTTGTGTGTTTAGAAGTAATCATCTTCTATTGATTTTCGTGTACTACGTTGGAATAGCAACTCCGTAAACATGCAAATTACGAGCGCTCCAAATTCACTGATGCTTGTCAAACACTAAAGTATCGTCGTGGACGTCTTTATTCCGTGCTTTATATTGTTTTGGAGCAATTGGTTTGGAGAAATTACGTGTTGACATAAATTGTGCAGCTCTGGGAAAGCGAAACTCGATAGGTCTCAAGTGGAAGATGTAATCAACATCATTATGGAGGTGTTCCACACCTCAAGAGGTTCTGATCAAACGTTCGAATCGTTCGAAACTAGGATCTTTTGAATTGTTCCATTCTTCGTGGTAGATTTCCTTAGGATCTATGATGTGTGTTAAAGTTTGTCGTTACAGTTCTGTCTCGAAGCGCCGAAAGCATTCGAACGTGAAGTTTAAAATTGTAGGGGGTCAGTGTCGAAACCAAATACTCGATTTTATATTCTCCTGTTTATTTCTCTGTTGGTAAATTATAAAATCCTAGCCATTCTTTAATTAGTACATTAAATTATGCGTCAATTTTGTCTAGAATTGTGCTCTTCTGGTTAGAGTACTAGAACGGGAAGAAGAACCATTCTGACTCCTCAACAGATTTTATAAACTTTTTTTTTACAAAATTCTCAAATTATCTACACTCAGAGTAGCATAAATATGTGATGACATGTTAATTACTTCATCGCGAATTTCTAAAAATGAAAAAGATATTGAATTTTGAGTAATTTTCAAGCTGCAACAATATTTTTGTGTTTTATTTTGTTTCACTTCTTAATATTATCTGTCTGCATGTAATTATGCCATGTTTTAGTTGTCTTTGATAATAACATTTCTCGTTTTCTATTTGGTACTATTCCAACAGGCTTATATGCAAAAATATTATTGAAATATTGGTTAGGATTTGTTTAATTCAATGCAGAAACTGATTTGTGATTAAATTTTTATGAAATATTGCCCAACAATCAGTCGATGACAATGCAGTTGTAATAATTTATTTAGAAACTTACTTTGATAACAGAAATTTATGCTGTAATTTGATCACTGCTGATCATCTAATAATCTGGATACACTAGCTATATTTATGTATGACATAATTTTGCATGGGATATATATAATCCAAATCTTTTGTTTCAAGGATATCAAACTTGTGTTATTTATTTATTTATTTATTTTTCCTATTTTAGAATTCTTTATAACTGTTACTGTATGAAGCTTGTAAACACAGCTATGTTGGTGGTGATTAAGTCCCATTATACTGTACAACTATGTTAAAACACACTTTTACAAATTGGCGCAAAGCCCAGAACTGAATCTTTATCATATATAACAATACCTTGTGAATGTATTGAAATTGTATCATCACTAAGTAAGTCATTTTGAATTTTTCTACATTTAAACTGTTAATAATCCATAAGGTAGAGACTAGAGAGATGAGAGGGCCTGGTGGAAGCCACTAGATTTCATGGGTCTCCACTCTGACGAGTTTCCAAAATGGAACTAAAAAGTGATTCCTTAGGCAAGAATCTTTACTCTATTAGTGCGAAGTGCAGTTCTCTTCCATGTTCCTTCATTAAGACAAACTTGTAGACTTAACTAAAGTTAGATGATTAATTATGTAAATTAATAGACCAAACAACAAATTTCAAATATTACAAAAAGGTATAATAAGATAAATAAAATATAAGTATGGGATATAAAATATATTATAAAAGGTAAATCTTTTTTAGTGTGGTACATACCTAAAGGCTAAATGAACTGGGAAGTATTCTAGCTAGCCTGTCTAGTTTATTGCCTGTCTAGTTTATTGCCTGTTTAGTTTCAGTATTACTTTCAACTTTAGTCTGATGTTCTCTGCAATTACAGCAGAGAGCAAGAACTATGTAATAACAAATGTCTTATCTTCTACTTGCTTTGACTTGAAGATGATAAGTTATTATACCTCATCTGTTTTACCTTTTTGTTATTCTTGCCTGAGTGAAATACTAGGTGTGTTTTGAAATGATAAAATAGCAAAATATACTTTGTAGACATGTAAAAAGGGCAAACATCTGAAACATCAGGAGTGGCGATATCTTTTTACTTGAACTTGGCATAAAAAAAATACCAGATCAGCTCTTGTACCAGGTTGTATACTCCTGTGTTCTGTACTAAGTTTATATTTTTATTTTCCTTAAATTCAAGGCTAGACCAAATTACTAAAAGTATTTTAATCTTAAATGATGTTTTCAACATTGAAAATTTAACCAGATAAAGCAAATTTTTACCCCCAAAAAGTGTTTCAACTTTCCTTCATGAAAATGCATATTTATAAAGATAATCTTTTGAATTACAATCTTCAGGATGCATGTCATTGTTGTCTTGCTTCGCTTTTTCTTCCTCTTTGTATTCTTTTCTCCATGAATTAAATTTTAAAAGTAAACCAGTCAAAATTCACATCAGCTAAGACTCCATCTGTATTTTTGTTTTATCTGTAATTTAGAAACTTAACTTTTGTACAAAAGATAGATAAATATTTTTGTTTCATGAACAGGAACAGAGAAAAAAATTTCCAACTTCAAATTATCTTGTCTCGATCAATCTCAAGGATGTCAATGTTGTCTTGTTTGGTAAAATATTTCCTGTATGTTAATAAAACTGGTGAAAGTTTCAAGCTAAGATGGCTTCTTTGTTTCAGATGAGTCTCTTCGTTTGTGTGAAGGAAAACTGTGTAGCTCCAGTGTTCAATGTATAAAGAAATCTACTGCAGTGAAGGTACAGTTGTCATCTCTGTGGGATAAGCTAGAGGTCATGAGATTTTAAGCTCAGTTTCCTGGTTTTCAAAGTGTGCTTGCTGTTTTATTGTCCATAATGGTTCATAATGGTGGTAGAAAGGAATAAACTGTGATATTTATTACTTGTTTGTTAATTCAGATTTGTCATCATGAAGTATGCCAAGACTATAACCACGGCATTCCACTGGCACTMTGCCTGAAATGCGATGAAGTCCACCATTTAGGCGTCAACGCAAAACATGCAAGATTTGAGATCAATAAACGTAAGATAACTAGATTTGACTGGCTGCATGTTTATTTTTTTTCTGCTTGATTGAAAAAAAATGAGTATAGTAGTTGTTGTTCCTTGTTATCCTCCACTCCCATTTCATTCTCGTTTTTCACATTTTCCTTTCTTTTACTTTTTCAAACAAAATGCATTATTATGTTGTCATTGTTAACAAATAAATTAAAATGTAACTATCTCTTGATCCTTCTGCAGATGAATAGATTTTTATAAAGTTATCTAGTATTCYTTCATTCATTTGAGATTTTCCTTTTTTCTTTATTATTTGTTTCTTCAAAATAATGATATAAAGAACATTGTCAATCGTCATAGTCAATTGTGTTATAATCTTCTTTAAAACATGTTGCTACAAGTCTGTTTTGCACGTTAAAGTTGCACACATTAACTACATGTATAATCACTGTCCAAGCATGTAGTTGGCACTGGAGCAGAACAGAGGCACAATAGCAGTCTACCTCAAGCTGTTTACCAGACATGCTTGAGTGGACTTTTTTTGTTTCCAGTCTAATTCTTGTATTGTATGCTTTAATGCTTGCTGTTAGTTTTGCTGATGTGTGAATTGAAGCTTTTTATACATCTTATGTTCGTATAAATCTAATTTTTGAATAAAAATACTTCAACTTCATTTTTTAGTGATAACTTTGTGTAGTTCATTTGGTTTTATCAGACAAAAACCTATGGACACTTTGCCATTGATTAAAGTTGTTTACTATGAGATTAATCCATGGATGTTCTAGTCCATAAGTGTATTTAATGTTATTTAGTTGTAGAGAGTAAGTTATCACTCAGTCAGAAASAATTAATCAAGACAACATTCAGAGAGTATTCTCTTCAACGATCCTCTGATATGCACTAACTTGTCGAACAGTTTTAATTAGTATAGGTTCAGGTCATTTCATAATACAATAATTTGCACATCTTCAAAATTCAATACCAGTCACTACAATCTTTTGTTTCTCTTCATTATAATKTCATTTGCATTGTTTTTGGSATATTTGTGAAATGGCATTATGATTCAAGAAATGTCTACTAAAAATTAACTCTTTCAGGTACCTTTTGAATGCTTATTATTTTTGTTGTTTTGTTTTTAGCTCGAATGAAACTGACAAGGAGCAACTCAACTCATTCCAATCAGTCTGATCATGACTCTGGCGCAGAAGAAGACATCACCGACGGACCAGTCAAAGTGTAAATATTATTTATTGATTCACTAAATCATTTAAATAAATTAATTCATCTGATTGTCCATTCATCCATTTATTTGATCTGTTTGTTCATCACTTTGGCTGACCATTTTCTCGTTCATTTAGTCATTTATCCATTCATTCATTTTCCCACCCATTCATTTCCATCCATCCACCCATTTATTCTGCAATTATCAAACATTCCTATAATTGCTTTGTTATTGTATCCACTTTATATTAAATTATAATATAACTTTTGAAAATGACACAAGTTTGTGTTGAAATGTCAAGTGAAAACGTGTCTTGTTTGTGGTCGTGACTTTTATCTCCATTGTTTTCATMTTTAAATACAGGGAAAAGAAAACCAGAGGTTATTCTACAGGAAAGAGAATATTCAAACTGACAGCAAATACAAAACGGAAACCAAGGAGACATAATACAGATGTAAGCGGGAATAATTGAATACTCTATTCATCATTTTAATTATTTGTTTAATTTGTATTAATTCATTTACCAATTTCCTTTTGCTTTTTTGTTTAAAAGTTGATTAATGTTTAATGTAATTAATAGTCATGATAATTGTTTTGCAATGTATTATGTAGGATCCTGGTAGAGATTTCTTTACTGTTAAGTTTCATGGTGAAAATGATGACGACATCAACATAGAAATAGTTCCTGCATTAAAAGGGAAATCCTTGAAGTAAGTATGAATTCTTTTAACATTTCTAGTGTAGTATTTTGTAGTCTATGGAGCATTATTCAAATCATTTTTCTATTATTAATTACAAACATTTTCATCAATTTTTTAGGGATTCATTAGAACCTTTGTTCTCAGAGAGAGATATAAGTTTTCTAAGTCATTCAGTATTCCTTGATGCTTCTAARACTCCATTACCGCTTGCATTTGATACTTTCCCAATGGGTGGAAACACACTACATGTTAGAGGTATGTCTTGCAACACAGTTATCAGAATATTGTATGGATTGCAAACCTAGTAATAACGTGGTTATGTATCTTGGTAGATGTTAGTAAGCTAGTTAGTGTTATAAATAATTGATATTTTTAATATTGTTTTTACATGGCAGGCAGGCAGTAAAATTAAGCTAAACTGTAGACAGTCTGTAAGGTAAAAACTTGCTTTCAGTGATAGATTGACTAGTTGATTGAATCTACCATTGCAAGGTCATCCTGCTTCAAATAGACACCTCAAAACYACTCAGGGAATTGTAAAAGAACTTTCTTTCATTTTAGCATGTACCTTTCCATTCATTCCTATTAATCTTACTAATTTTTTTCATTGTTTTTTTCAGCCAATGGTGTTGTAAAGGTAGACCAAAGGGTCATTGAAATGGTGAATAGCGTAGAAGACTGTAAACCCCAAGATGAATACATCCAGAAACCAAGAAGCAAGTCTGTCATGGATAACTCCTCCCTTAGTCGTGCAAAAGGAAACATGAAGAAGCTGGAACAAGATGAAAGAGATCGACAAACAGATGAACTCCTGAAGATGGTAAGAAGATATTTCTAGAGTTTTGTAATACATACGTAAGGGTTAAAGCAAACTAGAACTTGAATTTGTCTGAGTATTTCAACATGATTGTAATTTATTACGAAAGTGCCGGGTATATTAGAAACTCGTTTTTATTGCTTGTTTTAGAGCCAAAGAGGTAAGAAGAACATAATGAGTTTCTTTGGTGAAGACAGTCCTAATGCAACCTTCACAGGATCCAATCCAGCAATCCAATCAGGAACACAATCTGGTACTGGAACTCTTCATAGACCCAAATCAACTAGTAAGCTCACAGGGCTGTTCATAAACCAGCCCAAACCATCAAAGGTGAGATTAAAGTCTGAATTCTCCCATYATTCCATTGTATTGAAGGGAATTTTAAAATGTTATTTAACTGTCAGTAAGTACAGTATTGTTTCTGTTTTATGCTCAAGCTTGTTAGTGATGTTTTTATCCCACCGCAAACTAMTTTAAAAGCATGTCTTTAGAGAAGCAAAAAAACATAATACATGTAGTGGACATGTTGAATTTTCGAACCAGAACTGGCTGCARAAAGGCTGTTTGAACGRCATTGCTTCTGCATGGTATTCATCTTCAACAACTTAAAGTAATTGACAACTCTTGACTATTTTTTTTATTCAGCAAGAGATTTCTAATAGAGGATCAACACTTAGAGATTTCTTGGCATTGTACACTGTGTATGGACTTCCAGACCTTAACCAAGTAGACACAAGTATTAAAGATGAACCTCATGAAGAGGAACTTAAACTGGTAAATASTGTTGTTGTTTTATTMTTGTTGTTGTTGTTGTTGRTGRTGTTMTWTTYTTGTTGTTGTTGTTTTAATGTTTCAACAGTTGRTGATGTTTTGTGTATTACAATTTGCTTTGTGTCCATTATATCTTATTATAAAGATTGAAATAATAAAAATAAATTATGTATAAAATAAATCATATGTATTGTTTTCACAGGAGGAGTCTTGGATGGATGTTGTGGACCAACAATATATTGATGTAAGTCTTCATACTACTGATGATTTTGTAATTTTATATGCTCAACAGCATTTTTAAAAGAGCTTGTTTTATTTCAGCAAATGTCCAAAAAAGAGAAAGACCAACAAGAAGCAATCTGGGAATTATTGACAACTGAAGTTGCTTACATACAGAAACTTAGTATTGTTAAAAAGGTAGGAAATTATCTATAAGCACCAAAGGATATCTTTATTGATTCTTTATCGAGCATAATCAAACCATGATTATTTGTTTGAAGTTTTCAACTTTGTTATTGTTTTGTCTTTCAGTTATTTATCCTTTGCTTGAGAAATCTAAAAAACGAAGGTTTCTTGCAAGATGTAAGTAGGATGTTTTCTTTTGGCATTGAATAACTAGAGCTTAGGAATTCACTCAAGTAGATCGTGTTATAGAAAGTAATAATTAATAATCTTTTGAATTCATCTATGTTACAGACTGAAATACCCAAGTTGTTTAGTAATATAGAAGATATTTATGAGTTGAACTTGTCCTTTTGGTTGGATTGTCTTAGTGATGTAGTGAAACAGGTAAAGACAGAGCTTGCATGTCAAAACATTATAGTTACAACACAAGATTCATGAAGGTGGCATCATTGTACATTCTGCTGTTTGATAACACCGATAATAAATTGTCATAAGCAATTTTATTTTCTAAAATGAGAGTTATGGGCCGTTAAAACTGTTAAAACTTATTTGACTTTTCAGCAGTAGTGTATGGCCTTCAACTATCATTTTAACTCTTAATGCTACTGAAGGACAACGTCCTAATTCTTAATTTTGTTTTTGTTTTGTAGTCAAGGAAAACAGGAAATCCATTGGACCCTATGGACATGAGTGAAAGCTTCCCAATGGTAAGATATAAAGACTGTTTTTGGCTCTCATGGTCATTGTATGTTTATTCTATGTGTGTAATCGGCTAAGTAAGGCCTAACAAATCAATTTTTGTCATCAATATTTGTCTTTGCTTGTGAGAAAATGAGAGCATACAATAAAAGTTGTTGAAAAACTACTTGTTTTTCTCCTCTTGAGAACCAGCCCACMTCTCATCACAATTTTTATGGATAAGAAAACTGAGTCTTCTTTCTGAGTCTTATTTCATTTTAATGTGTTTAATGTTTTTTCTTTGTTTCTTTGTAGTTTGATAAAAGATTTGAGCCATATATTACATACTGTACAGAGGAATCATACTGTCTGAAATACTTCAAAAGAAACTTTGCRGAAGATGAAGACTTCAAGACCTATATCACTGTAAGTGAAAACAAGGTCCCKCACCTGTATACCCAAGGGYATAGAAAAGAGTMATTGCTMCCCCATAGGGGTACCCAGGGYTGCTCTCTGTCCCTTCYACAAGTGCTTGTTTATGTGCTTCTTAAGTTACTGTTAAAATACAGTAGGATAGAAAATTGGGACATTAAAATTATGCTCTGGCTTTTCAAAGTCCAATAAACTGACATGAAACAGGTTTAGAAACAGGATTTGAAACTGGTTCCAAAGCATGTTTAGGAATTGGTTTAGAACAGGATTAGGAATGGCGAACGAGTATATAAGCAGGCTTAGGAACAGGTTTAGAAACCAGTTTCAAAGTATAGAAGCAGGTTTTGAAACAGGAATAGGAAGAGGATGGAGTTAAATTGATGTTTTTCTTATATTTTCGCAGTGGTGTGAAGAACATCGCCTGTGCACAAACAGACTKAAGCTATCAGATTATCTTGTGAAACCAATGCAACGATTGACCAAATACCCTTTATTACTGAAAGCCATACAGAAAAAGACTCTATCAGAACAGCCAAAGAAAAGCGTTGAGGGAATGGTAAACATGAACTCTTTGAAACATTGTTAAGTCTATTGCACTGTGTTTCTGTTTTTCATTTTAATTCAGCACAGGGTTCGCGCTACACCTTGATTTCTTGAAAAGTCCTGGAATTGAAAAACTCGTTTTCAAGGGCGCTTGAAAAGCCCTTGAAAATGGGAAAATCGCTAAAACTCCTTGAATCTGATGAACAAACATGTTGCTTTTTGCCGTTTGGATTGAAATGTGGCTATTTTTTTTTAAATTGCCACTGGAAAACATCAAAAACTATCTTCAAAATTAGTCCTTGGAAATCGCATTTTTGTGCTTAAAAAGTCCTGGAATTTTGTAGTGAAAACTGTTGCACGAACTCTGTCAGTAAAACATGCTTCCTTTTATAAATCTACTCCACTGGAAAGAGTATTTTTTTAAATCCATCCCCCAAAGTTCAACAATATTTTTTCTGTTTGTTCAGATTAGCACAGTAGAGTCACTGCTAAGCAAGGTCAATGCAGCCATGAGAGTTTTGTACGAGAAGAACAAACTGATGTCAATATCGAAACGAATAACAAACAACTACAACGTTGTAGAGGCTGTTAACGATGAAATGGAGCGAGTAAGTAGTGTTCACCACCGTCTTGATGTTATGGTAGTTGTTGCAACGTGTCTTGTATCCATCCATCCATCCATCCATCCATCCATCCATCCATCCATCCATCCATCCATCCATTCATTCATTATTCTAACCAATGATATGACCTCGTTAATCTTCCATTGTCCCAGCCTTCAATTAGTAGTTTATTCATTCATTTTCCCATCCATCCATTCATTTTCCCATCCATCCATTCATTTCCACATTCATTCATTCATTTCCACATTCATTCGTTCTTTCACTTGTTCAACCAATAAAACCGTATATTCATTTACTATGGTGGCTTTATCTTGCTTTCCACAGCTGTTAACCAACTACAGCTCTTTTGATTTGATGGAGCTCATGCCTGGCTTGGACCAGCATCGTTGTGTTATTAACGAAGGTCCTTTGAGGCTTGTAGAAAAACAGGGCAAGGTCAGTGAAATATCATATAAGAAATACTGTGTGACTGACTTAAGAATGGCGAGGATGTAACCTTATTTTATCTGTATTTCAGATGGATGTTCACGTCTTCCTCTTTACAGATCTTCTCCTCTTGACAAAAGCAAAGAAGGGCGACAAATATAGAGTCTTGAAACCGGTAAACTAAGTGATTTTTGCCGCGAATACGATTTTTAGATAGTTCATTTCGTAGCCAGTCGACAAGCCACATGGAAATACCTTTTTAGCTTACTTAAGTTAACTTCAGCCTTTTATTATCTCTTTTGCAGCCACTAAAAGTGGACAAACTCTACGTACATCCATCCAAAGACCAAGGCAAGTTAGAGTATTATTCTTAGCCTTTATAGGGATGGTTTTCTTGTCTTTTTTTCCCTCAAACTTTCTCATTTATTGAGACAGGTATCCCAAACATTTCCCATGATTCCTCGGAGGTTATGATTCTCTCTGTGTGTATATGTTTTTTATTAACATCATTGTTTTTTGATTGCAGGGATGTTTCTGTTGATTTATGTTAACGAATACAACACAGCAGTTCAAGCTTTTGCATTACAAGGGACAACTACTGAAAATGCTAATTATTGGATGGAAGCTATTCGAAAAGCACAGGTAACATCATCATCATCATCATCATCATCATATTGGTTGATAGTTACTTTGACACCCCATTGGACGATGTTATACATGTGCTCATAGATGCTACTCGGACACTTCAAATTTCACTTTAAAGACAGTAATAATGGATGATCCTAACCATTATTTCATCTTTACATCATCATTTGATCGTAATCAACTTTTTTTAAACATAACATTTATGTTTGTTTTTTCTTCAGAAACTATTAATGGTGGCWCAACTCGGACAAGGTGGAGGTCACATGGGACGAGTCGAGAGCGATTCTAGTGAAGCTCTCATTAGTCCGTCTGCTCACATTTCAAATGTTGCATCAAAACGAAGACCCTCTACTGTGTCAATTGAATCTTTCGATTCTGATGATGAAATGGGTTTGAATGAACCATATCAGGCTCCGAATTTGGCAAGGTTTTCATCGGATCAAGCTCTTAATATTGGTGCAGATAATGAAGATGAAAAGGACATTGATACTGCCAAGGAGGAAAATATCACAGTTTTACAGAAMGAGAATTGTACTAACCAAGAATCATTCAGTGATCTATCAAGTGCCCAAGGACAAACACCAATCGATACAACTTCGGAAGAAAATTTTCAAAAAATACCTCCAGTCCATCCGGAACTTCACCGTCTGCGCAGTGAATCTTCAGCAAAAGTTTCGCGATCTTCMTCAGCGCCYCAAAAAGATCGGCCAAAAGTCGAGGCAGTGTCGTTGTCTCGATCATGTTCCGAACCAACTGAACCAAAGAGATTTTTACGGAAAACTTCGAAGGGAGAAATAATTACCGAYGGACTTCCGCTAGCGAAGGATTACCGAACKTCTCTTACATCATCTTCGTTTTCGGAGTCGGAAGTAAGCTCAACGCCTTCGCTTCAGAATTCTTTAGAACTGAGTGCGTCTCTTTCTTTAGATGACAATGCATTTGATTCCGCGGCATCTCCCAAACTATCCGAATCGTTTGCTAGTGCAGCTAGTGACTATAATGATGTTTGRTCTCCGATATCGGACGTACCATCGTCATTTGAGGCAAAACTAGATGATTACCATGACGARGATGGGAACGCACACTCCGGTCGACCTGTTACGCGCTCATCCTCTGCGCCAGTCCCCTTAAAGGAACTCAGGCCCCACTCTGTGAGTAGTGWCCCTGATGCGGATGAAGGACCTGGTGTTGAAGATGATAAAGCTGCTACATATCCTCGTCGTGGGAATCGAAGTCGAGCAAGTCCAGGTCTCAAAGCRTTGCAATCTTTGTCAGAAACTCTGGAAATCTCTTTAAAACAGCAACCTTCAAAACAAACTCCTCAAATTAAATCTCCTTTGATTGCACAACAGAAGTTACAGTCCGCCATTAGCAGCGCGGCGACTTCTGAYCCACCCCGCAAAAAGACGTCATTGCCGAGGCGATCGTCACCGATCTTGACCCGACGACCCGACAATCTAATGCGATCAAAGTCGTATTCGGGACTCGATAAAGTCAACATCACTTCACCTGATAAAGTAAAAGCATTTTTAACGCTTTCCGATGGTAATCCCACAGAATCTAAAGACTCTGACGATGATTTAGACTCAAGCAGTTCAATTAAATCGCGAACACTTCCACGTAGTAACACCGAATCGCGTGTTCCTTTAAAYCCAGATAAACAYCACTATAAAGAACTTGAATACACATCAAAACAAAAAAATGAGAAACAGGTACTCGAAGTATCGAGTAAAGGCTCGACTACGCCTCGTCTTCGTAAAAAAAGCATGTCATTATCGGATTTATTGAGCATCGGTCGAGATCTCACGAGCGGCCGAAGTAAAAACAATGACTCGAACAATTCTTCGGAAGTAAGTCGGAAGGATTCTCGGCACAAATCGGACTCGACAGACGACCGAAGTGAACCCGTTCAGCGAAAGCATTCAAGGTTCAGATTAGGACGTAGTAAGAGTCGCAGTGATCGGGAAATGAAGGATGGYATTGCTTCAGGACCAAATATCGATAAAAGGAAAGCAACAAAGCTGTTTTTGACGGAATCCTTGATGCTAGAAACTTCGTAAGTATTTGAATACATTATGTATGGGGTAAAATGCTGGCTAGGTGTGCGCGTGCATATACTAGAACTCGTTCTCAGACCCTCATTCCACATTGTGCAGGTCTTGTCGGCGTGCATGTATAAGAGGAAATGGGGATCTGGGAACGAGAATGGATAGATTATTATTCTGCCATTTTGAGTTTATAAGGTGTTGACTATTACGATGGGACTTCACTTATTCAAAATCCCTGGAGTGCATTATAAGCGTGATAACCCTTTGTGTAACTTTAATGTTTCATTCATGTTTTCATTACCATCTCATACTCTTTCATCTCATTTCTCTTCCATTRTTAAAATGATAATCATATAATTGCATATTTTAAAGTAAAATAGATAAATAAACAAAAAATAGATAAATAAATGTATTAGTAAATAATTAGGCTCTTCTAGCAGCCGCGACTTCCGGTTTCGTCAAATTTCTGGAAGGAAATTTGACGAAAACGGAAGTCGCGGCTGTTACAAGAGATAAATAAGAGATAAATAATGTGTGAATGTGAATTGCAAAATGCTGATTTAAAATTAAGCTGTACCTGTGGTCTAAAGTAGCTCGTCACGCGTCCTGTAGAATAAAATTAAYTAATAATAAATAAGSGTTAAGCATAATCGAATCACCAGGCAAAAGCTAGTCCTGTTCCTACCCCACTGAGTAAAAACCGGAAATGACGCGTGTTTTCTCAAACGCAGGGTCGTCCGTGACAAATCATGAAGCTGGCACTAAAGCACCAAATATGGCACGTTTGCTTAAAGCATGCGCAATAAAGCAACTAAAAAACCGGTGTGGATTCCCTGTGGAAGTCTACACATGGGCGTGTTTCCAATTTAAAATTGTTGTTGAGCTGTGAATATTTTTTTGTTTTTGAATTTTTATATTTAATGTTGGAACATTGTTTAAATGTTAAAACTTTATTTTCTTTAAATCAGATATTATTTTATTGGTTTAGATATATGCACCACACTTTATAATCACTAAAGCTGTGATTCTCAAATTAAATTTGTTAATAAAACATTTTCTATGCTTTACACTTGTGAATTCATTGTCCATTGTTCTTTTCCTCACTTGCACGAATCATTCACGTGATCACTCACTTTACACTTTACATACGCAGTGTGACGTCATAGAAATGACGTCATGTTATGTACAAAAATGCGTCATGAACAACATAGGAATTTTCCCGTGTTCTAATAACAAACCTTAAGAATCAATCTAATATGCATTCGTCTGGGATCGAAAAGGAGTTGAAGCTTCGTCGGTTTCGTGTTACGTGGTTATAAGTTTCGCTGATGTCATCGAGATGAAATCAATTTGGATTGATGCTCTTTTTGCCTAGAATTCCTCCCAAGCGATTTATTCGATCTTGATTTTTGTAAGTTGATTGTTATAAGATTGTTTGGAGTTGGCTGTGCTTTTTGTCTTCTTTGTCCATGAACTTTATGTAAGTGAAAAGACCTCGGCCCGAACACCGCGAATGGTGCGTAAGGTCAAATCTGTCTAACCAGGCAGCCATTGACCAGACTATTCGTCTTTTATAGCCTAAAGTTAAACTAGAAGAACGAGCTTCGTGATTGACAGGTATTTGGTGTGTGAAATCTAACGTGTGAAGGCCAAGGCCTTATACTAATCCTCCATAAACTAACACAAACTAACCTCTATACTAACTTAATTATAACATAATAGACTTTTAATATGTTATTGGACGCTGAAACAACACCAGGACGCTACTCAAAAGAGACTGGGTCCGATATAAACCCAGGCCTTCTCGGAAATACCCTCTTGTGAGGGATAGCGATAGTGTGATTGGTATGAACTTCAAAGCACCGAGAGTTTCATGACGGGCAACATTTCTCATGATTGATAAACAACTTCTTTATTGGCCCATACATGCATCAGGAGTTTCGGAGAACAATGCGTCCGCCATCTTGAAAAGTGAGACTCAAATCACTAAATTATAACTCCTAAAGAAATTAAAAAGTTCTAAGTTAATTTAAATTTAATATAATATACGTTATGATGATAGATTAGTTGACTAAGCAACTATGAAATTTGTTCTAAGGCAAAACAGTGATTCAGGGCCCACTTTTCAAGATGGCGGACACATTGTTCTCTGAAACTCCTGATGCATGTATTTACGGGCGACTCTTTGCATCTCTATATCCCGAGATATCAATTGTTAATATTGACTTGGTTTTGTGAGGAACGCGCGTGTGGAACATGTAAGGACAAATTCCCCGTAGACGCCCGAGTTTCACAAGTACGCCGGGGGGACGTGCATCTCACTTTTTGTCCTCTCTTCTTTGCCTGTGCTATAGAAATGTGAACTTTTTGTCTTAGTAGTGCCTGGCAAAACATTCCTTCCTGAACGGGTAACTTGACCACTTCGCTGGCTTCTGTGAAGTGGTAAAAAGCGATCTGAATTGTTTGGGTTGGTCTTTGGAGTCTAGATAGATCAAAGCCTTGCAGGCTTAAACTTATAACGCTGAAACATAGTGTTCCTCGAGTTCTCGAGAAAATCTGGCTTCAAGGAGTCTATTTTCCTGAGGACTTGCGCTAGATGTCAATGATTGAGCTCGGATATTTTTAGTAATAGGTTGTTTTCTTTTCAGAGAGTACGTGTAATCGATCGTCCAATATCTGATGCACAA